ATCCCTGGCAGTGTTGAAGGGCAGGTTGGATGGGGCTTGGAGCAGCCTGGGCTGGTGGGAGGTGTCCCTGCCCATGCAGGGGGTTGGATCTAGATCATCTTTCAGGTCCCTTCCAACCCCAACCATCCCATGATTCTATGAATTGTGTAGAGATGAGATGGTGGAGTTTTGTTTTATTACAGAGAAGGATTTTTAAACAGAAGAAAACCAAAGGTTTTCTGTGTTCCAGGGCTCTCTGGGATTCACATTTATTTATTTTTTTCTACATAATATATATTCTTTTATAAATTAAACCTAGAAAACAACATCTGCATTAAATAAACTCTAACACTGTCACAGTATTTTTACATGTCAAAATGTACCGTTTCAAATCTTCACAGCAAAAGAAACTTTACAAGAAGGTGCAAAGGAAATACTGGTCAAGCCCAAAAGTTCTGTTGTTTGATATTAAAGACATTATGGTTCAAAATACACCCACATTTGAGCCTTTCTTGAAAATCTCTCAGAGCCTGTTGAGTGACACATTTGACTCTGCTTTAGAGAGTTCCCATCACCAGAAGGTTTGGTTCCTCTGTGTTTCCACCACGTTGCTGCTAATGAGGAGGGGGTGTGAGGGTGCAGGGTCAGTTATCAGTGCAAGGGAAATAGATTTCCCCATCTTGGGTGAAGAGAGGACCTGGAAGGTTTGAAGGACATCTGGCCTCAATAAGTAAAGCCTACCCAAGACAGCCATTTGGCTTCACACCATGTGGATTTTGAGCCTGAGATGGGGACTGAGGGCAGAAAAAAAAGCACCTGGATGCTTCAATGACCTTGTGATTTGGGGGTAAGTCATTTGTTACATCCCAAAATGGAGGTTTAGTTAATTATTGAAATGGTTAAGTCCTTTGGGGCCACCTTATCCTCCTGACTCTGTGGCTCGAGGCAAACCCTCCAGAAACATGAAGCCCTGTTGGATTTGCTTTTGCTTCAGAAATACAGAATATTGAGTCACCTACTCATTTTTATTATCCAATTCTTTCTGCAGGACCCCAAAACCTTTGCTGCAGCCAAGGTGCACGACCAGGATGTGGCTGAGTAACAGCCTCCCTGGTGACCACGGGGACACTGGTGACAGCATCACCTTGTCACCACAGCTCCACATCCTCCTCCTGCTTCCAGAGCTCCCCAGCTTAGAAATGGGTCCTATGGGAATTACACAGTAATTATTCCCACTTAAGAGTCAGAGAAAATTTGCAACCAACCTACTAAGTCAACAAGCTTTTCAGTCAAGTTTGGGCTTGGGGGGGATGGTTTTCTCTACCCCTCACTGAAATCAGCAGAAGTTTGGCTGAGTCTTCACTCACTGTGTCCTGAGGAAATGCAAAACAGGGCCAAACCCCAAAATATAGGGAACATTTGAGGTCCTGCCAACCCTCTGGGGGAGGCCAGGACTAGTAGTCCGTGATGTCCTCCCTGAGCACGTCCCTGGAGTGCTTCCTCATGGAGCTGAGGCTGTGGAGCTGAATGCTGTCCTGCAAGTCCTGCCTGGAAAGGCGTCTCCTGAACTCATCCGTGGTGAAGTAGTAGATGACTGGGTCCACACAGGAGTTGAGGCTGGCAAGGCACAAGGCCACGGCGTGGAACACCGAGATCACCTTCTGGACACACCCGTTCCCAATCTTCTTGGTTTTGACAAAGAAATCCAGCGGGAAGCTGATGTGATAAGGTGCAAAGCAAATCAGGAACACCAGAGCGCAGGTGAGGATCATCTTTAAAGCCTTTTTTTTCTCCCCCAGGTCGTGGGAAGCGGAATTGTTTTCTTTGAGGGACAAGATGGTCTTCCAGGAGCAGTAGAGGATGATGAGGAGGGGCGTGACGAACCCCGCCAGCTCACCCATCGTCACCATGGCGATGGAGATGGGCAGCTCCACCTCCTTCACCGGGAGGTCCACGAAGCAGGTGTTGTTGGCACCCTTCTGGAGCCTGAGGAGGGGGAAAGGCAGGCAGCCCAGGCAGACCACCACCCACCCCACGATGCTGACGTAGACGTCGCAGACGCGTTTGCAGTCGCTGAACTTGAAGGGGTGCATGAGGAACAGGTACCGCCGGACGCTGATGCAGACCAAGAAGTAGATGCTGGCGTACATGTTGACGTACTTCAGGTAGAAGCAAAGCATGCAGAGACCCCTCCCAAACTCCCACGTCCCTGTCAAGTAGTAGAAGATCCTCAGGGGCAAGGACAGCACCTGCCATAAGTCGGCGATGGCTAAATTGATCATAAATATCACCGCCCTCTTAGTCTCTTTCATGTACCCGTAGAAGACCCACAGAGCTAAGGTATTTCCTATGAGTCCAGGGATCAGGATCAGAGTGTAGGTAATGGCATAGTAGGACTTGAGGTCTGTTTCGATGCAGGTGGAGCTGTTGGTCATGGTTGTGCTCCAGGTCCACGTTCAGCCCCAGCATCATAACATGGTCCTGACTCCTGTCCTGCAGGTCCCTCGTCCTCACGGTGTCGGGGCTTAAGTGAAAAGGCTCAGCCCTGGCACCCTTGTGTGAGGCTTTGGTTATGTCCACTCTGGGGAGGAGCTTCGTTAGGGGGTGAGCTAATCAAAGCCCTGCTCCTGTGCTTTGCTCATGGCTCCTTGACCCAAGTTCCCAGACCTTACTCTGCTCTCCCGTGGGACTGGCAGGGAGGGACCCACCCTGAGAGGCACATCCTTGTGGGATGAAGCAGTCGCCAGGTCGTCACCAGAGCTGCTCCTCTGTCACCTTTTGGGTGGCATTTCAGCTGCTTCTCTCAACACAGGGGTTTGACAACCAACATGGACCCACAGCTGCAAGACAGAAACTGCAGTTACAACCTGCTGGGGAGACGTGGGCCAGAGCTACAGGAAAGCTGGCAAGAGCAGCACCAGCACCTCTGCAGCAGAAACCTGTTGCTGGTGGCATCTGTGGTGGGCAGCTCTTCCTGCCTGGTGAAGGGAGGTGCAAAAATCACTCAGGATTAAATAGAAGATGTGTTAAATTGTTGCTGCAAACCAGCCCTCCTTGCTGGGCTGCCAAGCAGAAGCCACCCCTGATTGCAGGGTGCATTGCTGCCAGGTTCTGCAGCTGCTTCTTGCCCAGCTTTTCACAGAATCCCAGAGTGGTGGGGTTGGAAGGGACCTTTGGAGACCATCTAGTCCAACCCCCTGCTAGGGCAGGATGCCCTAGAGCAGATCCCACAGGAACACATCCAGGTTTGGAATGTCTGCAGGGATGGAGGCTCCACCACCTCCCTGGGCAGCCTGTCCCAGGGCTCTGGGACCCTCAGAGTCAAGAAGGATTTTCAAATATTCAGGTTCAACCTCCTGAGCTCCAATTTGTGCCCATTGCCCCTTGTCCTGTCCCTGGACACCCCTGAGCAGAGTCTGGCCCATCCTCCTGCCACCCCCTGGAGATATTGACCAGCACTGATCAGACCCCCCCTCAGTCTCCCTTTGTTCAGCTGAGCAGCCCCAGCTCTCCCAGCCTTTCCTCAGGCAGATGCTCCAGCCCCTTCAGCATCTCAGTGCCCTGATCTCCACCCCAATGTCCCTCTGCCTGTGCTCATGTTGCTCTCTCTGTGCCCAGGCCCAGCACAGAGATGCTCCATCACCCCTGCATCCCCTGAGCAGGGGGCCACTCTCACCTCACACAGCCTTCCCGAGTTTAACACCCCCCTGCTCTTCCCAGGAAAGCCCCTCAGAAACTTCCCACCAAACCACAGCTGTGCCAGCTGGGAAGACAGAACAAAACCTGCTCTGTGTGAAAAGGAGCTTGAGAAATGAACATTTTCCACCTGCTGCAGCAGCCAGGGCTGGAAGTCCCAGCTCAGTGACTTGGACCAAACCAGGCTCAACTATTTCATTGACCTTTCATGGCATATAAAACATACTTGCATGTGAGCAGGGACAACTGGCCCGGCTCAGGAACCACATTTTACTGCAGAACTGATGTGAAATTGGACTTTTTCAAAGCCTTCCCTTTCCCCATCGTGCACATGTGACTGCTGGGGCTGCTGGAAATACCAGAAACCATCACTAAGGTGACTGTAGGTGGACTTGGTTTTACATTTGTTTGCATGGGAAATAGCTGATCTTATCTGAAGCTGTCAGGCCAAAAAAAAAAAAAAAACCAACAAAAAACCCCACCAAACCCAGATCTGAGAACTACAGAGGAAATTCAGATCTCTGTGGAAACTCTGTTGCTTCAGCCCCAAAAAAATGAACTTACAGGTCTGAGTGGGAAACGTTTGTAAAACCAAGATGCCAAAGGCACCATTTCTAAAGCCAAAATTCCACCCTGCTGCAACACTGCTGGTTCTCCCTGTGCTTTGGATGCATTAAAACAGGAACATTTAGGAATGCAGCTGATGTTCAGCACTTGCCAGAGGGACTGAACTGAGATTTTGAAGTAGCTTTGGGTGGAAACAGAAAACCTTCTACAAAAAGAATCAGCGTGAAGAGGCAGCTTTTCTGTGTCTATTTGTGTCATTTCTCTTACACTCTTGAGAGATGAGTCCAGTGACACTGAGATGTCCTCCTTTCTTCCAGGGACCCAGCAGCCAACATAACCAGTAGAGCAAAATGGCTGGGGAAATAATCCCAGTAAACTTGAGAAGTGACAATTAACAAGCCATGGAGTTAATTCACCTTCTGTTCAAAGACTTGTCGATTCTTGTATTCATTTTCCACCCAATCTCTGGCACACAGACCTGGAAATGTGAGTCATCCCTTTGCTATGCAGGAAAACTAATTGGTGCTCACCTACCCCTGAGGTTTTTTTCTGTCACTGGTGGGTAACTTGGGCTTTGGTTTGTGTGTACTGGAGCTTGACTGGCACAAGTCACTGGGAGTGGTGGATAGGGCTGGTTTCTGGCAGTACCTGTCCTGCCCTGGGTTCCTGCAGCTTCAGAGCTGGTTCACCCCTTTGGGGCTTCCTGACAGTGGTGCCCACTTTGGGCAGGTTCCACCCCTCTCCTCTATGCTGGGATGGAGCCAGCCCACCTGGCCAAAACCAGTACATCCTCCCTGAGTGCTCAGGAATTGCCTTTAACAAATGCTGAGTAAAGGGACAAGCAGAGCCAGAGCTGCTCCGTGGGGACTGGTACCTGCAGGGGGTGGGAGGGATGCTCTCCTCCATGGTTCTCATGGTGATGCTGAGCACACACCCCCCCCACACCTCCTGGAGATGTGCTTGTCCTTACTGTTCCACCAGACTTCTCAGCATGACCTGTCCAGGCTCACCATCCCATCCTTTGGGATCTGCTCTAGGGGATCCTGCTCTAGCAGGGGGGTTGGACTGGATGATCTCCAGAGGTCCCTTCCAACCCCATCACTCTGGGATTCTGTGAAAAGCTGGGCAAGAAGCAGCTGCAGAACCTGGCAGCAATGCACCCTGCAATCAGGGGTGGCTTCTGCTTGGCAGCCCAGCAAGGGGGGCTGGTTTGCAGCAACAATTAAACACTTCTATTTATTCCTGAGTGATTTTGCACCTCCCTTCACCAGTCTGAGGGAGCCTGAATCCTGCTCCTTCTCCTCTGGCTGCTTTCCCTGCTGGCTAAACCCACCCCATCCCATCACTGGGGCCATCAGACGTGCCCAGGGCAGGCTGAGCTGCAGCCCCAGCCCCTCTCTGTGCACAGCCCAGTGCACACACAAGTGCTCACACACACACAAGTGCTTTTCCTGCTGCCCCCCCAGTGTCTGCATTTCCCCACCCCCTGGCACAGCACCTTTCTGCACCCCCATCCTCCAACCCCCCCCAGCCCCAGCCGTGTCAGGAGCTCTGCTTTGGAAACCCCAACCAGCAACGCTGCAGAGCTCGGAGAACGTGCTGTGTGAGAAACCAGCCAGCTGCTAAAAAAAGCCCCAGAAAGAGGAAATGTTGTTCAGTGTGGCTTCCCCTCGGTGGAGGGAGGTGCCAGACACCCCCAGACACCTTCCTCTGCCCCTGGATTGTGTCCCCCAGCCCCAATATCTCACCAAGGAGACCCCCTGGGTGAAGATTTCTTGTTTGCACTTCAGGAGGCAGGAGCAGCAGGTGGGGTTGGTACCCAGCCTTTCCACCCAGCCCTGGCTGGGGCTTGTCCCAGCTGGAGCACCTTGGGCAGGGGGTTGTCAGCTGGGCATCCACGTGCTCCAGGTGTGCAGGAGATGAGGATGTGGGAGCAGCCACAACCCCCCATGGAGCCCAGCACACCCTCCAGGAGCAGGGATGCTCCTCATCTGAGGCTGGTTACCATCACCTGGGGCAGCTCAGGATCCTCCTCAGGGAATCCTGGGGGTTTTACCCCAGGAAGTGAAGCCACAGAAGCCTTTAAATCCCAGCTCAGAGGGGGGAGCAGCTCTTCAGCCAGCCTGGGGGGGAGGGGAAGCAGCTCCTGACCTGGTGTTGAAGCACCTGGCAAACAGCGCCAAGCCTGGTCCCCTCTTGGAGCTCAGGAGACCCTGCCATGCTTGCCCAGCCCCTCCTGCTGTTTCCCAGCCCCTCCTGCTGTTTCCGCCTGGCTGGGTCCTGCTTCAAGCACCCTCCTCCCAAGGACCAGCAGGGTCATCCCCAGCCTGGCTGGGTCCTGCTTCAAGCACCCTCCTCCCAAGGACCAGCCCAGGTAAGCAGAGTGTGGAGGCACCTGGTGTGTGCTGCAGGGGCTGCAATTTCTGCTGTAAAACCACCTGTGGCAGAGGTGACACGGGGCTGGTGACACCTGCTGCTGTGCCTGGCACCCTGGTGTCACCTGCTGCCTTACCTGTGGGGCTGGGCAGCTCCCTGGGGCCTCTCTTCTATCTTTCCTTCTTCTCTTTGGTGGCCTAAGAGGAGAGGGGCACATGCACAGGGGTCATTCCAAAGAGGTGTTTGTTTCCCTGCCTGGTGGCAGCTCTGACCCTGTCTCAGGGGGCTGTGGTGACACAGGAGCTGGCCTGGGGACCAGAGCATTGTGCTGGGTCACCTGGAGCTCTGCTGGCCTGTTCTGGCAGAGATAATAGCAGTTGTAGTAATTAATAGGTATGAACTGACTGAGAGAAGCTGATCATTGCACGGGGCTGCTTTTTAGGTCTGTTAATAAACATCAGAGGAGGATAAAGTCTCCAAGTCCTGTCACCAGCATCTCCCAGCCCAGGTACCAGGCACCTCCTGAGCATCCCTCCCCTTCCCACCATTATCCAGGTTGCTGGAATATGTTCCCTAAGGCTGCAAGTGGGTGAGAGCAGCACTTCCAGCTTCACTCAGCCCCTCTGCAAGTGCCTGCTCAGCCCCTCTGATTTCTGTGGTTGCCTCAGATGTGAGTCCCTAAAAGTGGTGAATGTTTGTTCCAGGGAAAAGAGCTGGGAAACATCCCAGGTTGCCCAGGTTAGGCCTGGGGGGCATTGGCACAGTGGAATGAAATCCTTTCTCTTTGTTCATTCAT